AAAAAAAAAAAATATATATATATATATATATAAAGTACTTCTAATAATATGCATTTACTCAGTGTCATTTTGTACACACGGGCTTAATGAATGTACCACTGACAATTTTTAAGAAAAAAATATTTAAAAATGATTAATTATTCTGATTTATCTAAGCTATAGAGCAGGGGTCTTCAAACTTTTTAAACAGGGATCCAGTTTATTGCCCCTCAACCATTGGAGGGCCGGACTATGGGCCCCAGGATGAATCAGCTGCTAAGCAGGACAGGCAGCGGCGGCAAAAACACCCAGAGGGCCAGATAAATGTCCTTGGCAGGCCACATGTCGCCCATGGGCCGTAGTTTGAGGATGCCTGCTATAGCGGCTTTAAGATCTCAGTAGCTCCTATGTTTCTAAATATGATCAAACTTGAAGCACTAACACAAAGAACGGAACATGTAATGTGGGGAATACCTGACAAGCTGCCCGGAGAAAGCTTGATAACCTTGGGGTGTCAATCTTTGGTATAACTGTAGCATCAGAGATATCTCTGTTTTCACTACCTAAAAAAATAGGTTACATAAAATTAGCAAAGTTGACTCTAAAAAGTCATGCATTACACATCTTAGAATTCAAAAAGCTGTTACAAATGAGTATTAAGAATCCTAGAAGGAAAAGTCAGAAAATTTTACATTATATTCCCTAGATTTACTAGTGATTTTGCTCCAAAATACAAGTGTTATTGTTTTTTAGAATGTCTGGATACTTAATCTTATTTAAATGTATTAAGAAAAACAGTTAGGCTCGGTGCCTGTGGCTCAAGCGGCTAAGGCACTAGCCACATACACCTGAGCTGGTGGGTTCAAATCCAGCCTGGGCCTGCCAAACAACAATGATGGCTGTAACCAAAAAATAGCCAGGCATTGTGGTGGGCGCCTGTGGTCCCAGCTACTTGGGAGGCAGAGGCAGGAGACTCGTCTGAACCCAGGAGTTGGAGGTTGCTGTGAGCTGTGATACCACAGCACTCTACCCAGGGGGACAGCTTGAGACGCTGTCTCAAAAAAAAAAAAAAAAAAGAAAAACAGCTAAATGGCAGTGCCTGTGGCTCAAAGGAGTAAGGACACCAGCCCCATATGCCAGAGGTGGCGGGTTCAAACCCAGCCCCAGCCAAAACCTGCAAAAAAAAGAAAAGAAAAGAAAAGAAAAACAGTTAAAGAACTCAATTCAATTACTATGTAAGTCTTAAGTTGAGGTATCTTATGTTCTTAAGGTGAGGATTACCCGAGAAAAGGAAGTAATGTATATCCTTGTCATACAAAGATAATTCCTTAAGAAAAACTGTCAACCAGGAAAGTATTTAACACTAAGTACTAAAGTATTAAAGATGCTAAAGATGCTAAAGTATTTAATAAATAGCTCGAGTCACTGGCAGAAACCATGTATTGTAGGCAGCTTCAAACTACACAAATGGAATATATTTTCAAACTGCACTTGAAATGTAAAAATTATGTATTCGTGAAAACTGGCTATTCCAGAGCAGAGTGTGTTCCAAAAAGTCCCATTGTACAGTGGTTGTTTGGAAGGTAGGCTGCTTCCCTCTATCTGGCAATAAAATGTCCTAAATGCTGATTATGGCCCAGACTGGGCCTCAGGTGCAGCTCTGATGCTAGTAGCTGGTATTCCATTCAAAGAATGCTGGGCATCCCCACAATTATTTGTGAACACCCTCACCCACAAGAAAGACATAAAGAGATAGAGCAAGAAAGGTAGTAAGCAAAAATAAAAGAAAAAATAAAAATAGTTGACATTCAACACTCAGGAACAAAAAGTCACCTCCAGAGACAACACTGCTCTCTCCTGGATGCTGGGTCCACACTTCCCTAGTCTCTATTTCTTCAGTTTGAATGTCTCTTTCAACATTATCTTCATTATACTGCACATATGCCTTAAAAATAAAAATATGCTGGAATTAATATTTGCTCTCAATTTCAGAGCCATTTTTCATTACTAAAAATAAAAATAAATTTTTTTAAGTTAATAATGACAATCTTCTTTTGTCAAAAATAAGCATCATGGCATAAATGACAATCATGCACAGATTCCTATGTCTTAAACATTTGAGACATATATGCATATATAAGTGTAATTTTCAAAAGCATTTTCAAAAAAACCATATCATTTTCCCTTTAGTTTGAAAATACTACCACCTAGCCTACCCACACTGAGCCCAGATTATGAAAAACTCAGAAAATTTCATGTACTTTGAAATCCTTCAATTATAAAGTTTCACACAGATAAGTATAACATACTCACCTGGAACCCAGAACCTAATCCAAACTGCTTTGTCTAATGTTAAATATAACTTGTGCATTACATAAAGCTGAACTCAAAGGCTGGGAATATGGCCTTGTACTACTAGCCTTACATGTGGAACACCCTTACACTTTGCATTTGCCTAATCTTACTGGGTCAGAAGGACCATGTGATCATGGATACTATTTCTCCTCAACCCCATGACCCTCACCCACTGGTCTCCACAACCCCTCACACACAGACCCTCCCCACACCCTTCACACATACATTCCCCATGCCCCTCACACACACACACACACACACACACGCACACACTCCCCAAAACCCCTCACACTCCCCCTCCTCACAACCCCCTCACATATACCCTTCCCATGCCCCTCACACACACACACTCCCATAACTCCTCACATTCACCCTCCCCATGCCCCTCATACACACATACTCCCCATAACCCCTCACATTCACCCTCCCCA